TCTTTTATAAGAAAAGAAACTACAGGTGTTGCAGAGGGTGAATAAACCCCTTTCAGTGTCTAGGTTCTGACTTGGTTTTTTGAGAGATAATGATAAGAGTAAACTTTTATATTGCTTATTATGTGTGAAGTATATCCAAATACTCTACTTATATATTAACTAAGTTGTCACTGTTGACTGCCGTCACATCATTCCCCAATACATGGTGAGTCTTGTATTCATTGTCCAGCCTTGAACTTAGTCCTCACAACAAGCCACGGGAATTTCATAGAAGAGGAAATGAAGGTCCAAAAATCTTAAGTGATTTAATACAGTGCACTAATTCCCAAGTGCATATATATCCTTGACCATTTGAGATAGGCATTAATGAATATATAATCAAAATAAGTTAAACAGGAGGATGGGAGGGTATTATTACGTGGAGAGAGGAAAGAATATGCTAAAGGAAAATGATTCGGACCAGTGAGTAGACTGGATTGGATGGAGAACAGCAAAGAAAGAGTAAGAATCCAAGCTTAAGGTTTAGCTTGAGACCACAAAATGATAAAACCGGATGCATGGCTTTCTTCCAGAGCAGCTGGGATGCCCTATGAGACATTTGATCAGGATGACAGGCCATGTCAGAGTTATGCTTGTGAAGACTGAGGTGGCAGCAATGCAAAGGAAGTTGTTCTTTCTTCCAGTCTCAATGTATTTTGTGTACTTAGGAAACCCCAAGTGTTTCCCTCACTAGACAGTAAGTGCTGGGAAGGAAACTGAGCATCTACTCTACCTACAGATGCACGTCCAGATGATACAGTAAACTGCATAGCACACCTACAAAGCAGATGGCAGCAAGAAAGAGTGTTAGAGTTACAGATGCAGCTTGACGTGGTGAAAGAAAAGAATAATTTTAGAGGCAATTTAAAGAGTCATTAACCACATATGCTTAATTTATTTAGCTTAGTATAAAGGGAGTCTTGCTAATCTAATGGCTAGAATCTGTATTGCAATCCCAAAGGCACACAGTTTGAATCCACCTGCTGCTCCATGGGAAAAGGATAGGCAATCTCCTCCCATGTGATTAGTGCCTCTGAAAACCAGATGAAGGGTCAGCTATGGGTCTGTTCCAACTTACTGCCCTTGGGTTGTTTCTGACATGAGATAACTCTAATTAACTTTCAATGCCATAAATCTTAACAGGAGAAGATTGAGGAGCGGCTGGTGGACAGTGGATTTGAACGGCCTACTTTTCAGTTAGCAGCCCAAGATATAACTCGTTGCACCAGGGTTCCTTCAGAGTAATAAAAAGTGCCTGGAAATTTTGAATATGCAACTGACCACATTCAAGTCTTTACTCTGCCACTTGCCTCTGTAAAACCTGGGTGAGTTTCTTTTTTTCTTCTTCTTTCCCTCCATATTCCAGGTCTCCTTTTATTCCTCTTTCAATGAAAAATAAAAGTATCCTTTGATCATTGCTAAGGAGCTGTGGTGGTTGTGGCTATCCATAGGCTATGGGGCTCCAGCAGTTCTGTTCCACTCAAATTTTCTAGGAAGAGATATGAATAGATTCTTCCAGTAAAGATTTACAGAATATGAAATGCCATGGACTGTTACTATGAGTCCAAATCCATTGAATACAGTGATTTTTGTTGTTGTTGTTCACTTATTTTTTTTGTTTTATTTTTCTTTCTTTTGGTATGGTCAGTGGTTGTTGTTGTTGTTGTTGTTGTTATGTGCCATCAAGTCATTTGAGACTCATAGCGACCCTATGTACAACAGCCCTAAACCGTGCTCTATCCTGTGCCAATTTCATTGCCTCTGACACACCCACCCCGATTACCCCAGTCACTGAATCAACCCACCTCATAGAGGGTCTTCCCCTCCTGCGCTGTCCCTCTACCCTACCCAGCGTGATGTCCCTCTCTAAAGACCTGTCTCTCCTTACAACGTGTCCAAATGTCAGACGAAGCCCCAGAATCCTTGCCTCCAAGGAACAGCCTCATTTAATGCTCTCTATGATGAATCTGTTTGTTTTCTTGGCAGTCCATGGTACATTCAATGGTCAGTGGTACCTAGATAAAATAAGGATATGCCTTCAAAGAATCTGAGACACAAATGTCACTATAATTTTTATTTGAGACAGTCACCAGCATATTTTTGTTAGTTCGTTGTGTGCTGTCAAGTCGGAACTGATTCATACTTGATCTTTTAGTGGGTATTCAGAGGCAGTTTATCACACAGGAGGAGACTGCCCATTCTTCACCCACAGAGGAGTTAGTGGATTTTTATCTGAATGTGTTTGGGATTCCAGCATAGCTTCTTAGCAGTAGAACACATGAGTGCTCTACATATTTTTTTAGGTCCCTGTTATTATTTTTCTCCAGTTTGCAGATGAAGAAACTGAGTTTGAGGCTGAAGAAGTTATTTATCCAAAGTCCCACAGTGGAGGAGCCTGGATTTGAAATGATGGTGTATATGCAAAGAGAGATGCAAATCAAAACCACAGTGAGATACCATCTCACCCCAGTAGCAGTGCAGAGTTTAACAGGACAGCAAACAAATCTTGGAGAGGATGTGGAGAGGTTGGAACTTTCATACACTCCTGGAGGAACTATAAAATGGCACAATCACTCTGGAAGGCTGCTTGGCATTTCCTCAAAAAGCTAAACATAGAAACTTCATATGACATAGCTACTCCAATGCTAGGAATATACACCAAGGAAGCTAGAACTTAGACACAAATGGAGATTTGTATACCAATGTTCAAAGCAGCATTATTCTCCATCACAAGAACATGGAAATAGCCCAAATGTCCAGCCACGACCCAATGTATTGAGAAATTGTGGTACAGTTGCATGATGGAATACTACACAGCACTAAGGAATAATGATTTTGAAAAGTATTACGTAACTTGGGAGAGGCTGGAGAACATTATGCTGAGTGAACTAACTCGCTTTCATAAGGACAAATACTGTATAAGACAAGTATTGTAAAAGGTAACTATTAAAACTTGGATCCTTGGGGATCCAAGACGGAAAGCAGTGGGAACAGAAAGGTGAGGATAGGTAGGGGAGATATCACAGTGTCTCACACTTTGGTGGGTTGAAGTAGGGGATAAAAGAAATGGGAAAGATTCAGCAGGGACCTTAAAAGAGTAACGGTGGCCATAGTTCAATGGTGGTTAATTTTATAAAATATAACATGTGAGAATGATTGTATGAAAGATAATGTCAATGAAAGAAAGTGTGAAACACACAAACCCACTATGTATGTAAATGAAACATGATGTATATGAATAATTAATTTTTTAAAAATGTGTAGAAAGAGGGGCACAGATACACAGATTAGCAATATGACTTTCAAGAAAAATGCTCTCAATTCCTTGAAGAAACTGCAAGGCACAAATTTACGGATCAGATTCCATAAGCACTCGCACCCTACCTTGGAGGACAAAAGGTGCACCTTCCTCTCAGAGACTAATCTTGGACCCGCCCAACAACAGTTCTTGCGTCCTTAGCGACTGTGGCTGGAGCAGCCTCCTGAGAGTCAGGCCCTGTGATTGGCCCAACTCCAGGCTTCCAATCCCTCCGCCCATTCCCTCATGTGTTGGTGTGTCTGATGTCCTGGTAGAAGCAAGGGCCTCACACACTTGAGCTAGCTCCGTGGCAAAAAAAAAGTCTCATTCAAGGTAAGGTAAAGGTCATCGTAGCTGTTTTCTCTCCAACTAAGGTCACAGATTTGTTGCGCAGCTGCTGAGCAGGGAGAGGATTTGACAAGCACAAATTTCCAGGCAAATTCAAAGAGATTGCAAGTCCCATTGAATGAGGTTACCCTTGCAGAACACCAAGTGTGCCCCTTCAGAGTGCAGTATTGGGAGGAAGGGTGGCCTAGGCAGGACAGGAGTACTGCGAACAAGTCTGACTCTCACTCTGTCTACAACAACTCTCAGGCTAGCTTTCTCAGTCTGTAAAGTGAGTTTGCCTTAGAATGTTTTCTAAAGGCTTCCAGGCTCTGAAAGGAAGTGATTAATTGTGTCTCTGGTAAACTAAAATTACCTTTACATCACACTTGTCAAACCACCACTACACATCTCATGTTGTTGTTGTTAAGTGCCCTAGAGTCGCAGGCGATTCATAGTGACCCTATGAAGGAAAGTCCTCAACACTTGTGTGTCTTTCATCCTCTCTCCAGGTCCATAGGGTTTCCAGAGGCAAGTTATTACGGAAGTGGATGCCACTCCTGCTTCCAAACACATCTCATATAGAACCTTAATTTAAGGGTCTTCGGATTGTTGCAGAAACCGAGAAGGGATTATAACAAATCCCACTTTGCAACGCAAAACACTTACCCAAGCACATTACCTCATTGCATTCACAGTCCTTAAGAACAGAATAGAAATTATCTGGATTTTATGAGTAGAAAAACTGAGGAAAAGAGCTGAATATCGATTATTCATTGAAGTCTTGGTTTCCTTTTTGACCTTACAAGCATCTTATCTGATGTCTTGTATCACAGGAAGGTAGAGTCACCTAATGAATGCTTCAAAGCTGCAGATTTGCAGTCTTCCAGTATAATTCCCAATCCCTGTAATTATAGCTTCTGTGGCACTGAGTAAATTGCATAACTACAGTATGCCAACATTCTTAACTGTAAAACAGGAATGATCATAGTAAACAAGTTGTTGTTAAGTGCCTTCAAGTTGACTACAATCCATAACAACCTTATGAATAATGGATCTGAATCTTGCCCTATCTTGCGATATCCTATCTCTGACATACTTGAGCCTATTGTTACTGTCACTGTGTCAAGCCATATCATTGAGAGTCTTCTACTCTTCAATGTTCCTCCACATTTCCAAGCCCAATGCTCTTGCAGAAAGTGTTTCGTGAGATATTGTCTGTAAAGTGTTTGCTCCTGGTACTGTTTTCATTGGCATGGATGCTTCAGTTGGCTTGGGGGAAACTAAAAGGAGTGATTTGCTTGCTTTTCAAAGATTTGAAGAGGTCTTGTGAAGAATCATGTCTTCAGGTTGGAAGATTCCCCGCGGATCAGATGGCATGCCTGAGATGGTGGTGAAAATCATTGGAAGTAAACACTTTCGCTACCTTGTGGAGAAGCCAAAGATGTAAGCTTGCCATTTGAAAAATATCTGTGCTGCTTGGATAGTAATGAAGCTTTGTTTGTTTTGTTTTAACCTAGAAATTTAAATTTTAAAAATGCCATCCGTAGAAAATTAAGTCATTAAGATGTAACAGTTGAACTAAGATAGTATTGGTAACTTTCATGCTACTGTTTTCCTGCTATTTTTCATCTTTATAATTCCCCATACTCCTTAATTACTTGGGCTGATTTTCCAAATACATGGGAAATATGAGCATTTCGGCATTTATAAATATTAATGGAGTATTTTCTGTTTATCCTCATCGGATTTGTAATCTACCACATGTAGTAATATTTAGGAGGGAAGGGCTGTTAGTCAATTTGTTATAAATAAAAGAAATGAGATTAATAATGAATCATAAATTATAAGATTTTAATTTACTCTTGCCTGTATTTAATACTCTTCCAAGCAGGAACTTCTCATTTCCAAAGCATAGTTATAAGGTCTTTCTATCCTTCAGAACTCCTAAAAGTCACATTTAAGGGAGATAATGCATATATTTTTAAAATTCATTAGATGGGGTGAGCTCTGGTGGCCTAGTGACAAGAAGCTGTAATCCCGAAGGCACATGGTTTGAAACCCATCAGTGCTCTGCAGAAGAATAAGCAATCTTTTCCCGTGTGATTAACTGCCTCTGAAAACCCACTGAAGGGTCAGCTATGGGTTGGTTCCAACTGAACAGTAAACAACAACAGCAATATGGTGCAAAAGAAAAAAAACATACAACTAGCTCTTTCTTCCATTATTTTGATAGTTCACAAAAATAACAAAATTTATCAAGTACTGGGCATCTTGTAAATATTAGCTAATAGTTGCTTTTCTCTCCTAAGACTATTTCATTTAATCTTTCTTCTATTTCTAAGAAGAAACCCACAGAACAAATAGTGAGCATAAAGTACTACTTGTCATCATTGAACCTAACATGAAACAGTGACAATAACATGGCTACCATCTGAATCATTCAGGAATCCTGAAAAATATAGATTTGGGGTTCAGTTACAACTATGTTGAACCAGAATCATCAAAGATAAGGTAAACAGAACCACAGTTAGAGAGTATACCTACTCCTCACTTATCAACTATCTTGTTATTTGATTTCACAGTAATACAATAGTTTAAAAACCAGACAACTACTTGGTACATTAATGTACATCTGGAAGCAATTAATACCAAGGTGCACGTTGAATGTAATTCTGGCTGTGGTGGTGAAGGTTCTCTGTCAACTTGGCTGATGCATGATTCTCAGTGATTTGTATAATTATGTAGTCCTCCTCTATTTTGTGATTTGATGTGCTCAGGCCCCTTTTTCACATAATGCTAATTTTCATATAACAATCTGGTCTTTAGAACTTAATCATGTTTATAAGTGGGGAGTGTGTTCATTAAGCTTCAGAGGATCACACTGGTTTTACCATTTGTAACATGCATAAAGAGAGATCCCAGAGCCAGTCCAACAGGCAGTAGTAATGTGTGCTCATAGCTGAGAGACTGAGTTTTCTGACCAATAATCAGAATTATGGGATCCTTATAGAGCTGAGTAATGTGAATTTCATTCTGTACCTTCCTGGCTTGTTGATAAAAGGAATGTTAACATCTCTGGCCTCAATGTGTGCATACATAAGATGGAGGTAAAGCACCTATCTAGTGTATTTTTAAGAGGATCAAACAAAAAAATAATGTGCAAAGAATCTTTCTAGTACATAATATAGTAAGCCAATGTTATTGAAGCATATATTTTCAAATATGTAATAGTTTAATAAAGAATATAATCTGTAAGACTTCCCTGTCATCCCCTTAACACTCTTGTGCTTAGAATGTAGGTCATATCTGTCTTGTAGGAAACTAAGAAACTGTGATAAGTGATTATGTCAGGATTTCCTATCAAATCTCTCATTACTAAGAAAAGTAAACAGTACTTGTTTGAACTCCCCACTCAGTTCCTCTACCTGGAAGACTGCATAACTACCCTATTGATCTTATTACGGCCCTATTATTTTCATTTTTAAAGTTTCTATAGCATGTCTCCAGAAATACATTCCTTTTCTTAGGAGTTTCACAATGTAATGTTGTTGTTATGTACCATCAAGTCAGAATCAACTCATAGCTCACCCTCCAGCAGGTTTTCAGAGGCAGCAAATCACATGGTAGTTGATTGTCCATCTTTCTCCCACAGAGCTGCTGTGGTTTCAAATCAGGTACTTTTGTGTTGTCATCACAGTCCCTTACCAGTAGTGAGAGTGGAAAAAGCCTTGTTATTTTCTTTTTTTAAGATTTTTAAACTGTTATTTTTGTGTTCTTCACTCACATTGTATAAAATTAATCCCCACTGATTTTCCCAGTACAATGTGTCTCCTTATTTCCTGACTGCTCATACCAAGTGTGTAATTGATCATAGGTAGGTAGATTCATTTCTGGATTGTAATTCTGTTCCAATGGTTTATGTGTCTGTCATTTTAATATCACCATGCTGTTTTGTTTATTATGGCTGTATAATAGGTTTTGAGATCAGGAAGTACTGTGCCTCCCACTTAATTTTTGTTTTACAGAAATGCTTTTTTAATTTGGAGTCTCTTACCTTTCCACATTAATTTGCCAATTGCCTTTTCTATCTCTTTGAATGATTAATTTGGTATCTGTATTGGGATTGTGTTAAACACATAGATTTCTTTGGTAGGATTGCCATTTTCACTATATTGAGTCTACCTATCCATGAACAATGACTTTTTTTCCCCTTTTGTTAGGGCTCTTATTATTTTTCACAGAAGTATAGTTTTCTTAATAAAGGTCTTTTGTGTTTCTGATTAGGTTTATTCCCAATTAGCTCAATTTGTTGTTGACAATTGTAAATGGTATTGCTTTCTCGATTTCCTTCTCTGTGTTTTCTTTGCTACTGTAGAGGAATGCTACGGATTTTTGTATATTGGTCTTGTATCTTGCCATCCTCATTGGTCTATTAGAGCTAACAGTTATTTTGTTGATTCCGTGGAGTTTTCTGTATACATGATCATATCATCTGCTTATAGTGAGGGTTTTACCACCTCCTTGCCATATGCCTTAAATAGGAAATAAACATTTTTAAGAAAAGAATCCATGATGGCACAATAGTCAGGCAATTGAATATTAACCTCAAGGCTAGAAGTTATCACAAACTACTGGAGAAAAGACCTGGAGATGTATTTCAGGAAAGATTAGAGTCTATGAGATTCTATGGAGCAGTTCTGTTCTGTGCTACAGGGTCACTGTTATTTGGAATTTACTCAATGGCCAGTAACTACAATTTTACAGGAAAGCACTTTTTATTTCCTCTTTGTTTTTAACTTCAGGAGCCAGGCAAGAGGTCAAATGAGTTCCATTAATTGGAAGTAGAGATCCAATTTCTGTCATTCTCATGAAAGACTGTTGTTGTTTTTTTTCTTTCTCATGACGTTTTTAAAGAACCAGATGTCTATATATGTTTGTGTTTGTAATCTAAAGGTAAGCCCCTCCCTTTCTAATAATCAAAGGTGGTTAAGAAAAATAAGAAATTATTACCTTCTTCATACAGATATTTATAAAAAAATTACTATATCTGAATTTGAAATGACTCAAAAGTATAGAGCACTCTCCATTTCACAGACCATATGAGGTAACTGAGGACTCAGCAGACTTAAAGACACGCTCCAGTTATAAGAAAAAGAGCCCTAGTGGCACAGTGGTTAAGCAATTGGATGATTTGGATGATAAGCTAATGTCGCTGCTAGATGCTATCAAGTTAAGTACAACTCATAGTGGCCCTAAGAACAAAAGATTGAAACCTGTTCTATCCTGTGCCGTCCTCACACTTACAAATACACAAGAGGCCATTGTGACACTCACTGGGGGAGAAAAGATCTGGAGATCTGCAACAGAAAAGATTACAATCTAGTACACTCTATAGACAGTCAGTTATTAAGAACTGAGACTAAAGTCAAACTCTCCTTCCCTCTTTCATTGTATAGCAATAGAGTACAATAGAGTCGATTGACCTATAATTGTACCATCATAGTTTTCCTCTGAGATTAATGGCAGAATAAGAATCTATATCTTTTGAATTGTGGTATTGGAGAAAAGTGCTGAGTAGCCCATGGACTTCCAAATATACAAACAGATATGTTTTGGAGAAAGTGCAACCAGAGTGCTCCCTGGAGGCAAGGATGGACATGTTGTTAGGAGAGGCTATTCCTTGGAAAGAGACATCATGCTTGAAAAGGTGAAGGGTCAGTGAAAGAGAAGAAGTCCCTCAGCAAAATCGACTGATACAGTGACTATAGCATTAGACTCAAGTGTGTCAGGGATTATGAGACTAGCACAGGATAGGGCAGAGTTCAATTCTATTGTTTGTAGGGATGATATGAGTCATCTTTCACTTGAAGGTACAAAATAACAATCTCACTCCCAAGTCACTTTCTACTTCATTACAACTGAAAGGTCCAAGGGTTACCAACCTCTCTTACTAGAAATTCAATCTTGGACGTCTCCCTAGACTTAGACAGAATTTTAATTTCAATCTAATGTCCAGATAATGTTCTTATACATTAAAGTTTGAGAAACTATTCTCAAGCTGGAAGTCGTCACGACTCTTCCATTATGACTATGTCATTCCTCTGCCTAAATCTTCAATACCTTTTCATTATTCTAAGATTATCTAAAGTCCTTATTTGAGCTTATCTTTCTAAGCCCCTTTTGGTGCTATAATCTCTTCAATGTTATCTCTTGAAAATGTAAGCATTTCCTAATATCAAGCCCACATTTACTCATCCCACCTATGTGATATAGTGTATATTTTGGGGTCGTACATGCTACAATTCTTTTCAGCGTATTTATCTGTTTGAAACTTTTAATTGCAATTCTCTGTGCACTGAGTACAAAGTCCTGTATGTCTTCAATGACTACTAAATTATTCCAAGAGAACTGAAAATCTAGACAAATAATACATAGCTGTTTTA